GTTGCTGAATCTCTTTGTGAATTTTTGGTAACCCATAAAGATGTGGTGGTTTACTGTGATGTGGTGTAAGCGATGTTCTTAAATTATCACATTCATGAAATTCGTATATTTGTATAAAGCTCTGTAGATTACTAAATAAAATAAATAAAAAAAAGTAAAAATATTATTAATACACGGTTAGGTTAGGTAATAGGTGTAATAATCAATATTAATTTAATCTTTGTGGTCTTGTATATTAAAATAATCACTACCGCTGGCGTACAAAAACAAAATAATTTTGACCGTTGCAGTATATTGCACACGCCCTTGTTCGGTGATTTCTATATTGCCTGTTATCAGAGTCGATGCACGACGTACGGCAGTCTTCTGTCCCTGTCTAGCTCATCGTGCGGTAGCGACGCGACTAAGTCTGAGTTGTATCGTATTAAAGCGGAGCTTAGGCGAAATCTTTTGTCGCCTTTGCACTGTGCATGAAGTCGCGGGCGCTCGGTATATTTCGTTCCAATATTTCATATCATTCATTATACGTAGTATTTACAACTTTTATATAGAAATTCAAAATACATTTACAGCAAATTGGGAACATTTGTCAAGCTTGTCCAAGACGATTCAAAATGATATAACCAGTTGTATTTCAGTACACGCCACAGAACTAATAGAATCCGAAATAAAAAGCGCGTTATTTTATTCCGTCCAAGCAGACGATACAACAGATATTACAGAAAAGTATCAGTGTGCTATTTCAATTTGATATGTTAATAAAAGGGGGAAGTCAAAATATTTCTTTGCGAATTTTATTTTATTTTATGAAATATTAGATAACATTGTTATGCATTTAGAAATAAGGTTTGCAAATATGTCTCAGTTATTTTTATTTATCTTTTGCTGATTCACAGAAATTTAAAGAATCTATAAAAAAATTCCAACGCGTTTAATATCTGATTTAACAAACTTTTACCGCTATGTTTTTGACCAACATAAATTAATGAATAAATGATTTCAGGTATTAATAAGGCTGTACTTAAACTGCCGTTAAACGGTAGCTTACTAAAATGCCGTTAATAGGTGTGACGTCGTTGATGTGACGCACTTTACGGCTTTATGAAATATAGGAATTTTATAAGGACTAACCAAAGCTATCCACCCCACCAAATAACCAACTTAACCAACGCAACTAACCTCGACACTGATAAAAAAATATAAAAAACAACAGTACTTCGTTCAGTTACGTATTGCTAATGCCAATAACTTTCTTACGGTGGAGTGTATAGACATATAAATTATATTTTAGGTCGTGGACAGCGAGTTCGTATCATTTCGTACAAAAATAGAGATGATACCACAAATGTCTTTACTGCACGGTTGTCACAAATATGGTCATGCGTGTATAGGTGTGTTGGAATGGATAAGACATTTAGATGTTAACTACCTGACTCGGCAAACATTGTTTTATGCCATATAAATTATTCCTAGGATTAATATCGTCCCTACTCCATGCTGTTGACTGTATCAAATAAAGTAACTAAATACCGAGGGTGCCATTTAAAAATCAAAAGTTGTAGTCATTTCCGGTAAAACAGAAAGTGACCGAAAACAATTTTATTAAATTAATGTCAATCAATCCTAATTTAGGTCATATACTAATATCCCAAATCTCGTTTTTTTAATTGAAAAAATAAAAAAGTTATAGGGGGTGAGCCACTTTTGAAGCGCACCCGGTAGGTATATTAGTGAATAGTATTTTATGTTTTGTATTTTTATCATAGTATCATTTTGATTTTTTATATTTACATGATATTTTTTTCATATTTACATTGTGGTTCAATGTATACTAAGGGCTGGCAAAGAGTAGTCTTGCGTCGAGATTTCCGTATGTAAGAAGAGTACAAGGTGTTTATAATGTACTGAACAAAGAGAGAACAGTATACACGTTGCCAAACGTATGAAATAAACCGAGAAACTGTACACATTGCTAAAAGACGTGGAAGGGGATATAGCAGATTTGTCGCAGTTGACCGGCCGACCAAATCAGTACCTCTGTCAGTACTCTGTCAGTACATCACGCGTTCATAGCTTCACGATTTAATTACGTCTGGTGATATTTTATTTGTTTATTTATTAACGAGTCGTTGTAATTTTCCCTACAGCTTAAAAAATGTTAAGTTCGACAGTGATTGCGCTATTAGAACTCATTCAAAAATCAATATCTCGAAATCTATTGGAAATAATTGATTGTAGTTTTTTTCAAAAACTTTCTTAATATTTCTGCTATATTTTCTTCGCAAACAGTATGTGAAAATCTTTATAAATAAAAAGTTATACGTTTGATGAAAATTGATATGCACTAAAAGTAAATGGATGGGTTATTTAAAATTGTTGAATGGAAAAGAGGCAACCTTGTCGAATTTTTATTATTTAAACATATTGTAAAAGATCCGATCTTCAAAATAAAAAAAAGTGTCTAAACTGGTTCTTAAGTTAAGACGTGTCATGTGTTAAAAAAATTGAGTTTTTGAATTATAGCGATTACTGACGTTTTCTCGTTATAAAAAAATTGACACCTTAACGATATCCTTATAATTTCATTTCAGATGCTCAGAAACATATCTAATGATGTTATCTAGTTATCTTTTCAAATAAAAAGTCTTTTAAAAATAAGCGGTTTGTGATCGTGATTTTACTTTACTTGATAGGGTAAGGCATACCGGCAACGCCGCAACCGTCGAATTTCTCTCACTCCGACTTAATAAGATCCCTATGCGATTTATTTCCACACATGAAAATACCGACCCAAAAGTAACAGTTGCCAGCACGGTATAATGTACCTATATACTTATGTATAAGTGTCCGGATTTCTTGCATGTATGTGAGCCATATAAGGTATACGTGGTACTATATTAGATATGGTATACCACTTTATATACCTACTTCATGGTACCATAATTTTGCATTTCCATCAAAGATACGCAGGTATACCAAATTTGTGCCCAATCGGACATAGATAGTAGTTCTAATTAACTTTGCAATAGAAAAATTCGTTGTACAGGGTGGCGCCTCTCATACGCAAGGAGAACGACAGTTTGTATTGAAATGAAATTTTGTGAGCATATATAGGTTAATTAAGAGCACTTTTTAAAAATATAGAGAGTTCTACAGGGTGTCCCCAAAAAAAGTTACTTATCAAAGTTGTGTTTTTTGTAATGGAACACCCTATATATTAATTGATTTTCGGATTCTGGGAGAAAAATAAAGGTGAGTTTTATAAGAGAAGTATATGACTAAAATGTAAGGTTTTTGGCATATTTAACATTTTCTAGAAATAAAGAACAATTTTTAAATTACAATAAAAACTACCTAAATTGGAATTTACCCTATATAGCCTAATATATAGTTAAATTAACTATTATACTTTAAATAAAATTAAAACTTGGTCTAAAAAGTTATACAGGGTAAGAGAAAATTAATATTGAACATTGGTCACCTTTAAAAGCATGTTACTCTTTTATTTTAAATGGAACACCCAGTATATTATTCCGATATTCAATAGAGAATTCATGTTTCTTTAAAATACTATTAGGGTTGCCTACCCTTCAAACAAAGACTTTCCTAGATATTTTCATTTACATGATTTGATCTGAGAAGATCTTTATTATTTGATAAAATCTAGGTGGCTATGATATAGGTCTGACGTTACTTCAACATAGCTATCTAATTAGTCTTAACTTTGCCAACTAGTTATCATTTTGTGTCAGTTAAAACAAAAAATTTCTCAGAAATTTGCCGAAAATGCAAACATATCCTACATCAGAGAGAATTGATATGATCCTATTAGTTGGTGAATGCAGTATGCATTCACTAAGAATAGAATACTTAAATGCTCCTGATTTTATCTAGTCTGGATTTTTTATGGGAATATGTTAAAGACAGTGTTTACAAAACTCGACCAACTATTGTCAACATGAGAGAAATTATTGTAGCTGCTTTTCGAGGTAGATTTCCACATATACCTTTTAAAATGAGAAGATCCTTTTGAAAAAGACATCATTTTATGCAGTTAATGAGAAAGAAAGCATTTTAAGCATTTGATTTCATCTAGCTAATTTTTGTCACATAATTATAGGTTTAGGTCTAATTTTAGTTCTGTAATAATTAAAATATGTTTTAAATGTGTATCTTTTTATTTCCGTTGAGTATTTTACTCTACAATCTTTAATTTTTGTTAAATTAACAAAAGGTATACCACACAGCCACCTAGATTTTTTTCAAATAATAAAGATCTAATGACGCAAAATCTTAAAAATTAATATATCTAGGAAAATCTTTTTCTGAGGGGTAGGCAACCTTAATAATATTTTGAAGATATATAAATTCCCCATTGAACACCGGAAAAATATACTGGGTGTTCCATTTAAAATAAAGGAGTAACTTGCTTTTAAAGTGACTAATGTTCCATATTAATTTTGTCTCACCCTGTATAACTTTTTGGCTCAAATTTCAATTTGGTTTAACATACATGGTTACTGTAATTAAATATCAGGCTATACAGTGTCAACTAAAATTTAGATAGCTGTTATTGAATTTTAAAATTTATATATATACTCTTCATTTCACAAAATGTGAAATATGTCAAAATCTTTAGATTTTAGGGATATGCTTCTTTAATAAAACTCACCTTTATTTTTTTCCTAGAATCCGAAAATCAATTAATATATAGGTATTGTATACGATTGTGTTGCCGAGTACAATTTGCAACAAATATTTTAAGATGGTGTGAATTTTTAATAATGACTTTATTTATTGTAAAATACAAAGTTCTAACAATTAAGATACGATACGATATATCTAGACGGTCGTCAACAGCTGACTCTCTTTCGGTGCTGGTCACGTACGCCCTCTTTTCACTTCTTGGCGACAGAGGCGCTGTCGTTGTTCGCGCCATATTCAAATAACAAAAAAGACCGAACATGCCGCCCCCCTTGAAGTCAGCATGGCTTCAATAATTATAATTGTAAATCTTCACTTGGTAGTACACACAACTTGACAGCAGGTCTCTTCACAGTGTTTACTGAAGTTCTGACAGTGGCTGTCCTAACTACGCCGTCCGATCCAGGATGGATTTCTTCAACAATACCCAAACTCCATTTCAAAGGAGGAATATTGTCTTCTTTAATTAAAACAATGACACCAGGCTTGAGCAATTGAGAATAATTTCGTTGCCATTTAGAGCGTTGTTGTAACTCTGAGATAAATTCCTTCGACCATCTTTTCCAAAAATGCTGAATTATTTTTTGCAGCATGTGAAATCTGGACAAACGACAGTTTGGGATTGTAGTGTAGTCATCTTCTGGTATGGTCGTAATCCTTTCTCCGATCAGAAAATGGGAGGGTGTTAATGGTTGAATATCGGAAGGATCGTTAGTTAAAGGATATAAAGGTCGGGAATTCAAACAGGCTTCAATTTGAGTTAAAATGGTTAAGAATTCCTCATACGTCAGTGGTACATCTTTCATAACCCTTTTTATATGAAACTTAGCGGATTTTACTCCTGCCTCCCATAATCCTCCAAAGTGGGGTGCCCTTGGAGGTATGAAGTGCCATTTTACATTATTTAAACTTAGTTCAGTTTGAATTTTATTTTTAGAATTTTTAAGAAATTTATCAAATTCATTTTTGGTGCCAACAAAATTAGTTCCATGATCTGAATAAATATTACCACTAATACCTCTACGAGCAAAGAAACGTCTAAGTGTTGAAATAAAAGCACTTGTTGACAAACTGGTGACTAATTCAATATGAATAGCTTTGGTTGATAAACAAATAAATATACAAACGTAAGATTTTATTATTTTATAATTTCGTGTGCACCTATCTTTTAACATAAATGGACCACAAAAGTCAACACCAACATTAAAGAACGGTCTACACTGACTAATTCGATAGGATGGTAAATCACCCATTAGGTGTTCTGAAGGGACCGGATTACATCTGTAACACACAGTGCAATTTCTTACAACTTGTCTAACTAAATTTCTTCCTGAAAGAATCCAAAACTTCTCACGTATAGAAGAAAGTAAAAGTTGAGGCCCTGCATGAAGTAACCTCTTATGTTCATATTCTACAAGAAGTTTGGAGAAGTAATGTTTTCCGGGAAGAATAATAGGAAATTTTTTATCATAATTATAATTAGAGTGTCTAAGTCTGCCGCCTACTCTAATTATATTATCACGATCTATAAAAGGATGTAATTTTATTAATTTGCTTTTATTATTTACAGATTTTGAATTGTTTAATGTGGAAAATTCCTTGGCAAAAACATCGTTTTGTATTAAACGAATAAGAATATTTAAAGCATTTGTTAATTCTTTTGTGTCTAATGAACCAGTTCTTTTTATATCAGGATTTTTGCAATTTATAGAAAATCTTATACAGTAAGCGGTTACACGTTGTAATTTTGTGAAGGATGAAAATTTTGTTAATAAATCGAAATTGTTTTCATTAGTGGTTACTGTGAATGATAATGGTTTAACTGTTTTTCGTTCATTTGAAACATCTATGTCACATACACTCTCATCAGTGGGAGAATACGTAGGCCATTTTTCCTTAGATGCTGAAAGCCAAGTAGGACCTTTCCACCATAATTGATTATTTATCAAATCTCCAGGTGTAACACCTCTAGAGAGAAGGTCGGCGGGATTCTCCTTAGAATTTATATAAAACCATGCATCACTACTAGTGAGAGTTTGGATCTGAGACACACGATTTCCAACAAATATTTTCCAGTGATGTGACGGTGATAAAATCCAGGATAAAACAATTTGTGAATCACACCAACAGAAGTATTCATCGACCTTGATATCTAAACTATCTTTTACCTTGTTCAGAAGTTGAGCCCCTAGAAGAGCTGCACATAATTCTAACCGAGGCATTGTAATAATTTTTAACGGACTCACACGAGTTTTAGCACAAAGCAAATTTACTGTGATACTATTATCTGTATCTATGGTTCTAATGAATATGCATGCCCCATATGCCTGTTCACTTGCATCAGAAAAACAATGTAACTCAGTAGTGAGTGTATTAGTTGATAATATGTAACGAGGTATGTTAATATTATTGATGTCTATTAAATGTGATCTGAAATTAATCCAGCTTCTATAGATATCCAAGGGTATAGACTCATCCCAATCGATCTTTGACTGCCAAAGCCTTTGTATTAATATTTTAGCAACAATAATGATTGGAGCAATTAAACCAAGAGGATCAAAAATTTTAGCGATAGTTGAGAGGATTGTTCTCTTTGTAAAACTAGTGTCATTATTTGAGCAAATACTATATTTAAACGTGTCAGACCTAGAATCCCAAGTAAGACCCAGAGTTTTAGTTTCTAATGACTGATCAAAAAATAATAGTGTTTCAGAAGATGGTTGTTCCTTTACAACTTCAATATTATTCGACATTAATTTTCTAAGTTCAAAACCACCCGAATTTAAAATGAGCAAAATACGAGTTTTAATGTTTAAAACGTCTTCAACTGAAGAACCTCCTGTAAAAAGGTCATCTACATAAAAATCGTTAGATATAATTTTAGATAATTCAGGGTCTGTCTTAGAGCATTCATGGGCTAATTCAAGTAAACAACGAGTAGATAGATAGGAGGCTGATGCGGTTCCGTAAGTTACAGTATTTAACTGATAAGTTTGAATTTCTGAATCTGGATCAGATCGCCACAATATAAGTTGAAGATTTCTCTGATTATTTTTAATTAGAACTTGCCTATACATTTTGGCTATATCACCTATTAAAACAATCTTATGCTTTCTAGACCTTAAAATAATTGAAAATAGATCGTTCTGAATAGTAGGACCCACACAAAGGATATCATTCAACGAAAAGCCACTGGACGTTTTAGAAGATCCGTCAAACACTACTCTAACTTTCGTAGTAGTGCTACTTTCTTTAAAAACGCAATGGTGTGGTAGATAGAAGTGAGGTTTCTCGTGGTCTACTGAATCAATTCTAGTCATGTGACCCAAAGTTTCATATTCACGTATAAAATCAGAATATTCCTTTTTTAGAGGAGGATTTTTTTGAAATTTTTTCTCCAAAGAATAAAAGCGTTTCAAAGCGATTTCTTTTGAATCACCAAGACAAGATGGGGATATTTTAAAAGGTAACTGTACGACAAAACGGCCATCTGGATTTCTTACAGTGGATTTTACAAATAACTCTTCACATGTCTTTTCTTCTGGAGAAAGATGTTCAGAATAGCTATATTCTTCTACACTCCAAAATTTCTCCAACATATTCTCCAAGGAATTGTTTATGGATGAAAAGTTACAAGAAAGCCCAGAGCTATCCTTTTGAATGTATTTCTTAGGGAAAAATCTACCAGAAATGACCCAACCGAATCTAGTTTTCTGCAAAATAGGCAAGTCTTTGCCAAGTTTTATTTGACCAATATTTAATAAATCCCAAAAATAGTCGGCTCCTATAAGCAAATCAACACTACCTGGTATATGATAAGATGGGTCTGCTAATATTAAGTTTGCGGGAATATTTAAATCAGATTTATCGAAAACAAATGAAGGGATTTTTGAAGTAATCTTTGGCAATACTAAACAGTTGATATTTATTTTAAAGTTTGATTGTCTAGATTCTATTAGAAGTTTTGTTTGCTTTAAGACCTTTGCCTGATTTTGAGCAATACCAGTAATTGACAAATTAACTGCTGTTGAAGGTAATTTCAACTTTTCGAAAAGACTTTCTGAAATAAAACTAGCTTCACTACCATTATCTAAAAGAATTCGACATGTATGACTTCGTCCATTGCTGTCAAATATATTGACAACAGCGGTTGATAATAAAACATTAGCAGATTTATAATCAAACGATGATACAGAAAGGTTTATAGTATTTGAACTAATATTGTCTTGATTTATTTCATGATTAGAACTAGATGACTCATTAGATGATTGATCTGGACTATTCTGAATAGGTTTTGTTTTAGAGTTTTGAGTATAATCAATATGGAGCAATGTATTATGTCTTTGCTGACATTTTCGACATGGAATAGAGCGACAATCCTTTACAACATGATTATTTCGAAGACAATTTATACATAGTTTAAGGCGTTTAACCTCTGATAATCGTGAGTGGACATTTAGAGCAATAAAAGAGTTACAGTTATAAATAGTATGCTCCTTTTGACAGAAACAACATTTTGGGGTGTGTTTACTTACTGACATCCCTCTAATATTTCTTGAAGTAGTTGGTGTTTGTGTAGACTGAATACTTTCAAGGATTTTACATTTTTCTTGTAAGAATTTGGTGAAATCAGCAATAGTTATACTCTCTAGTTTTGAAGAATCAGCTTCCCATTCACGTCTTGAATTATTATCTAGCTTGGATGAAACCAAATGGATTAGCAATGCGTCCCAGGAACTAACCGGTTGACCTAAAACTTCAAGTGCCCTTAAGTGTCTTGTCATGCTGTCTAAGAGGTTACGTAGCCCAGAAAATGATTCTTTACTGATTGAGTCAAGTTGAAATAAAGCTTTGATGTGATTTTTTACTAATAATTGTTTATTTTCATATCTATCTACTAACAACTGCCAAGCTACCTCGTAATTACTCGATGAACATTCTAATGATTTAAGAAGGTCTGCTGCTTGACCTTTCAAGGACAAACGAAGATAATGAAATTTGTTTATTAAAGGAATTGAAGGTTCCTTATGTATTAGAGATTCAAATGTGTCCTTGAAAAACAACCAGTGTTCATAACTTCCATCGAAAGTTGGAAGAGTAATTTGTGGTAGCTTTATATTAGGTGTACTTGCCTCTTGTATTCCACTTGATGATGAGTGTATAGACACATTAGGTTCATTTTGGACTGCATGTAATGACAAAAACCTCTTTGCAATCGACATTAACTCAAAATAGTTGTCCTCGAAATTACACCGCGTGAGTGAATGCTCATCCTCGGACGTATCTACATCTAAAGCCTCTATGTTTGTTTGTGTTGTATTGAAAGAATCTAAAATGCCTTCTAAACTATTCATTCGAAGCTCAAGCTGAACTAAATCTGGCACATCTTGTGTTTTAAACTTGTCTAAAAAGTTTCTAAACCTTGTCAGTTGTGCTTTATGTGTAGCACGAATATTTTTTAATTGTTTTAATTCAGCATCTGCTTCAGCCATTTTGAATAATCTTTGAGAATATATGAATTATTTATAGGTACCAAGTTGTATGTTTATAAATGCAAATAAAATGTATGAAAATTACGAAACTATTCTAACTCAATTGTTTAAAAAAGGATAATAAAGGATATTAGGATAAAGGACTGATCTTACTTTGATTTAAAATATTGATCGACTGTATAGATTTCAGCTTCGGATTGCCTGGAAACTGGATTGACTCGAAATTGTTTGCTTTTCTTCTGATCTTCTATCCGGCTCGAAGGACCAATGTATACGATTGTGTTGCCGAGTACAATTTGCAACAAATATTTTAAGATGGTGTGAATTTTTAATAATGACTTTATTTATTGTAAAATACAAAGTTCTAACAATTAAGATACGATACGATATATCTAGACGGTCGTCAACAGCTGACTCTCTTTCGGTGCTGGTCACGTACGCCCTCTTTTCACTTCTTGGCGACAGAGGCGCTGTCGTTGTTCGCGCCATATTCAAATAACAAAAAAGACCGAACAGGTATAGTTCCATTAAAAAAAACACAACTTTGATGTGTAACTTTTTTTGGGGACACCCTGTATAATTCTATATATTTTTATATATAAAATGCTTTCAGTTAACCTACATATGCTGCCAAAATTTCATTTCGATATAAACTACCGTTCTCCTTGGAGCTTCCGCGGCGTATGAGAGGCGCCACCCTGGATGTATACATAGTGCTCCTGAGGAAGTACACTGTATAAATTTTAAGTATCTAAATATATCTCCACATTTTGACAAACTCGATACACTTCCTTACACGAAAGTTCCAATGAAATTGTACATTTTACCGAAAAACTCTTTAACCAAAGTACCTGTATCATTCTCCGTTCTCTATAGCACGACTTCGGCGGTACCGAGAACCGAAACCCGCGCCGCCTCTGACCTCGCACGATGATGTATCGGTGCCGTGTGGTAGGTAGGAACAAAAGACTGCTGCGAGACGTGAGACCTACCACCCATCATCCTCAGATCGTTATATTCGCATTATGAGATCGGCTTTTATATTGCGGGGCCGGCGAGCGATTGTTTTGATGTCTCAATCAGCGAGGAGCGTTAATGGCGCTCCGCCGCCGCCAGTACCGCGAGTTAGAAACGTATTTCGATAGGTTATTAGGCGGTACCGAGCTGCGCTATGCTACGATATTAGCGGAATCGGATGCGGTTTGCTACGTGATTAATCTAGTTGATGAGGTTTTTCCAATTCTCGGAGCTACAGTAGCGTTGTATCTCGACGAAGGTTTTTAGTATAGGTACTTGTTATTTGTTTGTTACATAGTCTGTTACTCTACTGTTTTAAAATATTTAACCATTTACCGTGTGTTGTCTGTTGTATCGACATGGACAAACAAAATCTCATGTAAATGTAAATTTTAAAAATACTCTCCATTCTTTTTTTATAGAAAATATTCGCGGTTTTATATTTAATACGGCATTTTCCACAGTAAATGTTTATCAAAGCCACCTAATGATTGTTCTCTCGTATTTTACCGTTGAAAGAGCCAAATGAAATAATATGGAAATAATACTGCGTATATCTGCAAAACCATTATAAATTTTGAAATACTTTAAATACAAAAAATGTTCATCTTTTAACTCTCCGTCTATTAAAAAATTAAAATAAAGGGTGGTCCAATTAAAAAAAACACAAAGAAAAATTATTTTATATTTTAGAAAGTTTGGCGTAGAATTTTGAACACCCTGTATAATTTAAAATTATGATATTTAAGCAAAATAAGTATAGCCTATCTAAAGCAGCGTTTCTTAACCTTTTTCAGTCCGCGGACCCCTAAAAAATCAAGCACAATTTCAAGGACCTTCCTAATAAAACACAGGAATTTTAGGACAAATTATTTTAGTAAAAAAAATACCTTTTTTAAAAATTAAAAATGCGGAATTAATGTGAAGGTTGGTGCTGCTTTCTTGCAACTAAATTAGTAATGTTCGGGTTGTTATTTAGTTGAAATCAAATCGGATTCCAATGTGGATGAGAAAAGCAGTTAATGTTTCAGTGCTTTTTTTTGTGAGGGGGTGGTTTAAAACTCTTTTATAGACGAATAGTGATCATTCCCATGACCGTCTCGAGAGAGACGGTCATAGAAATAACCCTTAGACAGTGTGGGATTCGAAATACCCAGTAAAAACGATCCACCTCCGAGGAATCAGCCGCCGAAGAATGGCAGCTCTTATTCCTGCTTATGTGTTGAGGAAGAGAAGGGGCGAAGCGCTGGGTGCCTGAAGGCTAGTATTGGGATGCGAGATTCAGGAGCGACTGGACACTACGTCCAGAAGATTTGTGAATTGTCCGGAAGACAGTTTTAGGAGGGGGATTTGGTACAGAAGAATGGAGATTAGGTCATAGGGGGTAACATGTTTGTAAGTATGTTTGAAACCATGGTTTTGACATGACTAGCTACTTGTTCAAGTAGTTGTTTATGGAGTTCTTGGTTTATTGAAAAGATGGGTGGGAATGACTCAAGGGTATTTCCTTGTGGCGAGTTGTTGAGATTGCTTTTGAGCACTGAAGCATAAAGTGTAGGATTTGGGGGGATAGGAGTCGAGACCTTTGAGGGTTCCGCCTGACTAAGGATGTTAGTATTGGGATTACGATTTCTCGGATTTTTTGAGCATGAAGTGTGGCTAGCTGGATGCGGACCTCCGCAAATTGAACAAATTGCAGGCGCATCAGTCTCTTTATCACAGGATTTGGAGTGATGGGATTTGGCGCACCTCACGCAACGCGGGGCCGCAAAGCAGTTCGAGGCGGCATGGCCGAATTGCTGGCAATTGTGGCACTGACGTACCCCATTACCGCGCCTCGGCGTCACCACCCGAACGCTCAGCGAGCCCACATGCGTGATGTCGAAGATGTAGGTTTGATGTTTGGGTACTCTGACCTTGACGACGGCCATGGGAATACCGTCTCGTGAGAGACGATGCATTTCTCTGACCTCGAATCCTTGGGAAGTACGGTCCTCAATTATTGGCGAGTTGTCGACAAAAACTTCAACAGCTTTGATTAGGACATTTAGATCCCTGTCATCAGGGGAAAAATAAATATGAAAGGGTATTTTCTTGTTTTTGAAATAGTCGACGATGGCCCTATGGTCATCAGAAGAAGAGGGAGTGATTCTAATGCCGAGAGGCACAGTTTTTGCTTCTGAAAAGCGGATTTTCTGCTCTTTGAAAGTTCTTGTGATGCTCATCCAGAGACGAGTATCACGAAGTACGACTTGGGGAGGCTGTTTGGGCCCTTTGCTTTTAGATTGTGGCTCCTGCTGCGTTTGAGGAACAGCAGTGGGAGTTTTGGGTTGTGGCTCCTGCTGCATTTGAAGAACAGCAGGGGGGGAGTTTGGGTTGGGACGCCGGTTGCGTTTGAGGAGCTACAGCGGGAGGGTTTTCGATTTTTGGGACCTGACGTTCCGGGCAATCGGGCTTATTTATATAGGGATTTGCACCTGATGAAGTTGTGCAGGGTGGGGATGGTGGACGAGCTGGGGAAGCCTCCCTTGAGGCTAACTTTATCTCTGGGATCGGTGATGACGCAAGAGACTCGTCAGTACTGGCCTGACGCGTCTTCTTACTGATCACGTTTCTACTGAAGTTTATTTCGTTATGACTGATTTTATGACGTTCAAGAATTGAACGGACTAAATTTTTCTTTTCTCTAAGGAGATGATAGGAGTAAATTAGGTCTTGAATTTCGTCAGGGGAGTAATCCCTTGACCGATCAAGCCTGATGAATGGTTCAGGATGGGTTGCGATCGACAGGAAATAGTATGGGTTTGGAATCTGAATATAAGGAATCTGAATCTAAGGAATCTATGAGAGTTTTTTTCTAATCTGGGAAGATTAGCCCTATTTTTCTTGGGAGCCATGATAGGCGATTGGGAAGAAGGAGAAACGACCCTTGGAGAGGGCCGTATTGAGCGGAGCTTGCTCTGAAGAATCGAGCAAGCTTGTGATGAAAGGAACCACTTACCGAGCGCGAGGGCACTACCGAGCGCGAAATACTATGAGAGCTGCGATGTTCACTGAACGAAGCGCGGTACTCGAATGATGACTGACTGACCACTGGTCGCTACGAATTGACTGATGATGTTTCAGTGCTTCTTCTGATATTTCTATATAAACTTTTTTTAAATTCATCCAAACATTTGATAAAGAAGTTTCTTTGAAATTATGTTGTAAAGCTGAATCACATGATATTTTTATTCATTGATTTTCCTAAACAGTTGGCAAACCCTTGATATCTGAAACACCCGCGTTGAAAGGGTCTACTATCCAGTTTTTCTGTCGGGTTCTGAAAAATATTCTCGAAAATCTGACCTCAAACCGCAGAGATGTTTGATCATTTCGTCTTCTACATGCGTTGGCAACATTTCCCCGCACCAGAGGATTCCAAAGAGGCTACCAGTGTAGAAAATGATTATAGTTTTTTTATGATCATGTTTTTTCAGTGCCTTTTGAAATTGTTTTTGGACTATATTACAATGAAGACTTGCTGATATTTAATTATTAATTCATAGATAAGACGGCGGACCCCCAGGGGAACGCTGATCTAAAGTAAAAACCTAATATATTTTTGATTTCAGTACAGATTTTTGTATTTGTATTAATTTTTTTAAATAAGGTTGAGAAATATGTGTTTTATTTATTTATTAATGTCTCTGAAGTTATCGAAATATATTTACTTTTACTATGTGCTTACTACTTACATTATGACAAACACAGCGTAGAATTAAATTTCTATCAGCAGTTAAGTGGCAAGAATCCTTATATAATTTTATTATATATCTCTTTTATAATTTGGCTTGCCTGAAAAAAAGCCTTTTACCATCCTTTACTATCGATATTGCGCCCCTCGATTGTACGAGAGTACCTACTACCATTGCACGCAGGCCATCTCCTGTTCGTGACTTAATATCTAACTGATACTTTCCGACAAGTCGGAATTAATCCAC